CAAAACCTCTCCACATAGTTACTGACTCTTAATGTACAGAAAGAGCTGTTTTATATATTTTAACTGCTGAATTTATTCCGGATAAAATAAAATTAGCTCATTATTTATACAATTACAGGAAATAATAGGAATAGGAATCATCTCACTTATATAATACACATCAGATTTCATATGGATCTGCAAGGTCCTCTAGTACAAGGTAATGATAAAAATTGATCTCTTATTAATATGAAATTTCATAAAGTCACCGTGGTAACAGCACAGATTTGAAAAAGGATTTTTCCATCACATGGCAACAAGCCAAGGAAATTGTAAAACAAAAATGTCCTATATATTCCTTCTATAACCAAACTCCATTACCTGCAGGGGGTAACCCTAAAAGTATGCAAAGAAAGGAAATTTGGAAAGTGGATATGTTTCATTTGGCAGAATTTATTTGGAAAACTTAAATATGTATATCATACTATAGATTGTTCTCAGGATTTCAGGGGGAGACTGCTTTGATTTCTGAAAAGGCTGATTTTGTTATTACATGCCTATTAGAAATCATGGCCATTATAGGTATACCTGTATAAGTGAAGACTGATAGTGTTCCAACATATGTCTCCAGTAAAATAAAACCATTTTCTGCATATTATAATATTAAATGTTTTACAGGTATTACACACAATTCTATAGGACAAGCCATCATTGAAAGGTCTAATCGCACCTTTAAAAATGTTTAATACACAAAAAGAGAGCAATAGCTCCACAATTTTATGCTAAATTCTGCCTGTGACCTCACTACATAGACTCTTGTTCTCAATATTTCTTCCCAAGGAAAGAGAAATTGATATGTACTGATATACTGACTAAATAATATATATAACTGAAGGCATATATGAATATGTATATTTATGGTTGTGTATGAGTGAATAATGTATATTTATGTGTTTACATATGTGAATATGTGTGTTTATGTATGTTCATGTGTAAATGCCTGTATCTGTGTAGGTGCCCATATAAATTTGTGTATATATTATATGTATATATATATACATATATATATGTGTGTGTGTGAATATATATATGTGTGTGTGTGTGTGTGTGTGGCTGTTGAATAAACCCATGACCTGATTTTTTTCTCCATGATATAGTTATGGAACCTAGTCAGCTATGCTGGTCTCTACCTGCCCTTTGCTTGTGGGATTTTGGTGATCATTCTATCACCCTAATCACTAATACAGCAGAAGTATTCAGTTGGATGTGAATCAACTTTCGTGCATTTTAAGACTAATAAGCTATGATTTTGCTGGCTAAAGTATTTCAAAAGTGATCTAGAATATGAGCAAGATGAAGACAGGCATCAACAATAGACTAAAGGCAATTCTATTCAGATTAAACCAATGAGTTTATTGGTTCTGGAGAATGGGCCAAGAGTTTATAGGAGGAAATGGTCACTCAAATTTACCCACATCAATGAAGAGTTCAAACCAGCAGGGATAGAGACTAATAAATATCCTCACTCCCTGGAACTCCCTGTAAGACTTGTTCCCCACAAGCAATTATTAATTACTTTAGTAACCTTGGGGAGGAGCCTTGTGAAACTTGTAAATTATGAGTTCCTGATTTTTGGTGGATTCATAAGCCTCTTGAGTCTTCTTGATGATCTCCATAAGTCTTATAAGTCTCCTTTCTCCCTCAAGAAGGGAAGTTGGAATTTGGAAGAAATAGCCACACAACATATGATCTCATTTATCTTGTCACTGACACATTTTCTGTGTCTGTTCAGCCTGAACAATAGATAAGCTGGCAAACACAATCTCACATTTCTAAAAACATAGTGGAATTAAGACATACAAGCTGCCATTGTGTATTTTTCTCTTCTGTTTTTGTTGACAGTCATTTTGTAGAAATCAAAACTCTTCCTATCTGCAAGCCTTTTAAACCCCCATAGTTGCCTGACACTGGCATAAGAAGGAGACATTTCATTGGTTAAAATTTACTGACTTGTACAAATTTCTTCTTGATGTAGGAGGATCTTCTATCTATTTGTTGCTTCCATTGGTTAATTAATAAAGAAAACCACTTTGCCTGATAGGTCAGAACATAGGTAGGCAGGGAAGACAGAACAAAATTGTGGGAGGAAGAAAGCAGAGACAGGCAGACGCCGTGAATCTCCGGCGCAAGATGGACGTGGGTTAGAATCTTCCCGGTAAGCCACAGCCTCGTGGTGCTATACAGATTTAATGAAAATGGGTTAATCAAGATGTGAGAGTTAGCCAATAAGAGGTTAGAAATAATGGGCCAGGCAGTGTTTAAATGAATACAGTTTCTATATTATTATTTCCGGGGCTAAGCTAGCCATGCAGGAGCTGGGCGGGACAAAAAGCAAGGGTGCTCGCCTCATCACTACACCTTCTCATTCTAATTCTTTGCCCAGGAGATTTTGAACACCCTGAAAGTTTTGTCACTTTTGAGTGGTGTCCTACTCAAGTGTTCTCTACCATAGGGTACTGAACTGAAAAGAGAATTCTCATTAGATGAAGTTCAAATGGCCAAAAGACACTTAAGTCATGTTCAACCTCCTTAGCAATCAGAGAAATGCAAATCAAAACAACTTTGAGATAGCATCTTACACCTGTCAGAGTGGCTAAAATAAAAAACACCAATGATAGCCTATGCTGGAGAGGGTGTGGAGTAAGGGGAACACTCATCCATTGCTGGTGGGAATGCAGACTTTTGCAACCACTTTGGAAATCAGTGTGGCAGTTTCTCAGGAAAGTAGGAGTCAACCTACCTCAGGATCCAGCAATACCATTCTTGGGAATATATCCAAGAGATGCCCAATCATATTACAAAAGTGTTTGTTCAACTATGTTCATAGCAGCATTATTTGTAATTGCCTTTTTTATTTTGGAAATGTGACTGACAAATTCCTTTAACTTTATTTAACTTTTTATTAATGTATTTTTATTGATTCTTAGGGAATTTCATATTATAAACCCCAATCCCGCACATGTTCTAGTCCTCCATTTCCACTATCCACCCTTGAAGCCCCCCCCACAAAATAAAAAAAATAACAAAAAAATCACTCCTCCATTTTTCTACCACTCCATAACATATTCATTTGTGGTACTGTCCTTGGGAGCTGTGATGTGTCATGCAGTATACCCCTTTGCCCAAACAGCTCATCCTACTTTAGGACCAAATGAGTCTTTGGCTGTGGTGGTATTCCAAAATTAAAGAGGACTAGATTACTTCTTCTGTAATCAGATTGATGACTCCTCATTGCCATCATAGAACTGTTATCCAATGAATGATGGAAACATGCAAAGTTTAAGAGCCAAGCAAAAAACTGAGCCAAGCTCAAAGAACCCAGTTGTAGAGAGGGAGGAAGGATTATATGAGTAGGTAGGGTTAAGATCATGATGAGAAACCCACAGAGACAGCTGACACAAGCTCACAGGAGCTCACAGATCCTAGACCCACAGCTTTGGAGCCTGCATGGGACTGACCTAGGCTCTTTGCATGTAGGTGACAGTTGTGTAGCTTCATCGGTTTGTGGGACTGATAGCAATGTGATCATGTCTTGTCCCTGGTGCATGAGATAGATTTTTGGAAACTATTCCTTCTGGTGATGCTCAGCCTTGATGCAGTGAGTAGGAGCTTGGTCCTACTTCAACTTGATATGTCATACTTTCTTGACTTTTGCCTTAACCTTTTTAAATGAAGACAGAGGAGTGTATTGGTGGGAAAATAGAATGGATGTGGGGGAGGGAATGGGAGGAAAGGAGGTAGGGGAAACTGGTTTGTATGCAAAATAAATAAAAATTTATTAAAGAAGGAAAAAAAGAAAATTCAAGAATGTCTCATTAAATATAAAAGAGCAAAGAGTCAAATCTCAAGTTTGCTCAGGTATGCACAGACAAATAGAAGAGAAAATTTCTTTATGTAGCCATTGGTGTCTGATACTCTGAGATTGTTAGGGAACAGACCTACAGACAGAATCTTCCATACACAAAGTTTTCTTTTCTAAGGCCCCATCAAGGACACACACACCATGGCACTCAATCTACACTCCCATGGGGAGACTGCTGCTATCAGTTGTTGACAGACATTGATTATAGGGATATCAACTTAGTACTGACCATGAAGTTTCCTCCTTGATTTCAAGATATTATCATGCAAGAAATTGCTAGATAGACTTTTTGGGAGAAAGACTCATCAGTAGTTTTACCTAGCTGTGAAATAAAGACCAATATGTCAAAATATGAATTCATGAGTGTAATAGTCACATGACAATTATAGGATAACTAACCACTTTTTTTTAAATTTATTTATTTCTTTATTAATTAATTAAAGATTTCTGTCTCTTCCCCACCTCTGCCTCCCTTTCCCTCCCCCTCCCCCAATCAAGTACCCCTCCCTCGTCAGCCCAAAGAGCAATCAGGGTTCCCTGCCCTGTGGGAAGTCCAAGGACCACCCACCTCCATCCAGGTCTAGTAAGGTGAGCATCCATGAAACTGCCTAGGCTCCCACAAAGCCAGTACGTGCAGTAGGATCAAAAACCCATTGCCATTGTTCTTGAGGTCTCAGTAGTCCTCATTGTCCGCTATGTTCAGCGAGACTGGTTTTAACCCAGGCTTTTTCAGACCCGGGCCAGCTGGCCTTGGTGAGTTCCTGATAGCACCTCCCCATTGTCTCAGTGTGTGGGTATCCCCCTCGCGGTCCTGAGTTCCTTGCTCGTGCTCTCTCTCCTTCTGCTCCTGATTTGGACCTTGAGATTTCAGTCCGGTGCTCCAATGTGGGTCTCTGTCTCTGTCTCCTTTCATCGCCTGATGAAGACTAACCACTTTTTGATTGCATTTAACTTCATTCTATGAGAAGAAATGCATGCCTGGTACTAGGCCAAGAATCCATGGTTGATGAACTCACAAATCTCAGGAACAAAACTACTTATTATTTTTTTTTTCAGTTCAAAAGGTTTTTTTCTTTCTTTTTTTGTCTGTCTTTCTTTCTTTCTTTCTTTCTTTCTTTCTTTCTTTCTTTCTTTCTTTCTTTCTTTCTTTCTTTCTTTCAGATTTCTGTCTCTTCCCCCCAGCCACCTCCCCTTTCAGGGCAGGGAACCCTGACTACTTATTATTTTAATCTTCATATCACACTGCTTTCTAAAGTTGTATCTCTTTATCCAGAGATGAATGCAACCCTTAGACTTAATCAAAGAAATTGTTCAGTGGACAGTGGTCAACACCCAAACTTACAGCTGCTCAAAGGACAAAAAATAGGTATCATTGGAGTACTCAGTCATCAATGGAAAATCAATGAATTTATAATGGAAAAGAACATATTAATAATATTGCTGAGAAAACTTTATCAGTATTGAAATAAAACACAATGAGATATCACTGGGAAAATGGATGTATTTTGATATTAAAGAACATATACATTGTTAAATAATAATTTTCTTTCCACACACCATAATTTAAACTCTATCAAGACAATGAAAGATAAATAAAGATTCTGAATGCTCAATTCATGAAGTATGGTAGATAAACGAAATATTCATCTAGGCTTTATTCAGAAGTGAATTAAAGACTCAGGTGTTTAGGATAAAATATTTGAAGAACATATCAAGATTTGAGACAAATCAGTTTTCATTTTTGACCCCATCTCTTGATACAATCTTCAGGATAATAGGTTTTTCTGGATAAAGAAGTTCTTGCCGATTTAAATTCAAGGGAATCTATAGTAGTTGAAAAAATACACTGGTAAACAACCAATGAAAAAATGCACAGAAGACTAATAGAACTAATTTATTAAGAATAACAATAGTTTCTTCATGCATTCTCATTTGGCCATGATCTTAGTACAAAGATGTAAGAGTCAGGAAGAATGTAAGTTTAAGGTTGGCTGAACTACACAGCAAGTTCCATACAAACCTGAACAACATGAATTACTTCCTATAAATAATATGTCTTTATAAATGAATACTTATGACTTTTAGCAACACATATCTTAAATTCCTCATACATTTATCTTCATAAAAATAGAAAAAGAAAATATGCCTCTATCTATTACACATCAAAGTGAATATTTATTACACGTTCCTTACATGCCAAGACAAAATTGTGATTGTATGTCTTCCTCAGTAATACACATTTTAAATGGAGCAGTAATTTGAACTCTAGAAAGCATATTTGTGGGTATACAGAAAACAGCATTTAAAAGGTGATATAAAGTGAGTAGAGAGAAAACAGCATTTAAAAAAGATCTAAACTGAATTTTGCATTTAGTAAAATGGAAAGATAATCATGATTTTTCATTGTACACCTTTTGCTCCTAAACAATGTGTTTACCTTTCACACTGAAACATGGAAATTCATAATGGAAAGAAAACTTTGGAACCACTAAGATATTAATCCTCTGTATCTCTTCTGAACTCAAGGGAGTGCTTTAGGGAATTTGTAGTCTATTTTATACCTTATTTTTATAGTTTGTCCTGTAATTTGACAAAGACCATCTTGTATGTAACTAGAGCTTATCAGGGGTTACCAAAACTTGCTTTTCATCAAAGCAAAGTATCCACATACAGAACATCAGAACACCTGTCCTCAAGTATCTAAAAAGAAGATGACCACCTTATCCTCCTATTCTTCCATGAAGAAAAACCTACTGACACTCAAGGTATATTAAACACAAAAGTCATAAGATTAAACCCATTTGGCATTACTTCAATTTAAATTAATGGTAAAGTATTCTTATGTTATTCAGGGGAGGTATCCCAAACATGTTTCTAAATGTTTCACCTTACATAAAAAGTACATAGAAAAGGGAGGAAAGTTTTAACATCAGAAGTGATGTCTGACCTCAAGAAACCATGTTTTTCAAACAAAACAACAGAGAGCACATGCAGAGCTGAAATCACAAGAATATGAAAGAATGAACAAGACATGTACAACCACAATCTATATAAAATGCCAGAATGGAGTGTGCATGGATAGAAACATGGTTCCATCCTTAGTTGATGAGCTTTTGTTATCCTATGCTGCTGAAAAAAGCCAAGCTTATTTTATTGAAATGGTAGTGCCTCTCTTAAATCAACCAGACTCTAAGGAAAGGCCCTCTTTACCCAAGAGCAGTTGGCTAACAAAAATTGAACTTTATGTATTTAAAAATGAGAGAGAGAGAGAAGTGAGGAATGTAGGAAAGTAATTATAGACATTGAGGTGAATTGCCATGAAATTCTTAGGGAATAAATAAAAATATTATTTAAAATATACACATGTATCTATAAAAACAATTTTCTTGAGCCCCCAAGGTACAAATGAGGAACAGAAGGAGGGAGAACATGAGCAAGGAAGTCAAGACCGCATGGGGGGCACCCACCCATTGAGACGGTGGGGCTGATCTATTAGGAGATCACCAAGGCCAGCTGGACTGGGACTGAAAATGCATGGGATAAAACCAGACTCACTGAATATGGTGGACAATGAGGGCTGCTGACATGCCAAGGATAATGGCACTGAGTTTTGACCCTATTGCATGTACTGGCTTTGTGGGAGTCTAGCCGGTTTGGATGCTCACCTTCCTAGACCTGGATGGAGGGGGGCAGACACTGGACTGCCCACAGGGCAGGGAACCCTGACTGCTATTTGGACTGGAGAGGGAAAGAGAGGGGAGTGGGACATGGGTAGTGGGGGAAGGGGGAGGGAAAAGGGAGGCGGCGAGGAGGCAGAAATTTTTAATTAAAAAAATTTAATAAAAAAATGAAAAAAAATTCTTAATTTTAAATGGCAAAATAACTTAAAATGTATACCCAAGAGTTAAAAAAAACAGCTACAAAACCTCCTTTATGTATTCACTGAAAATTTTTAGCCTTAAGGTCAGAATTTCAATTAATGGAAAGAATAAAATCAAGTGATTCAGAAAGTAAGAGGAATACTGAACATAGAGAAAATAGCACAGAGAAGTACATGTAGTAGTTAATGTGTTACCAGGGGCAATGGCAGCATACAGAAACCATTACTAGAAGACAGGAGTAATTTACAGAGACAAGCTGGGAAAGGTTTTTGGGGTCGGGACACAGTTGGTTTCTTTGAATTTGAAGGATGAGATATAATGAAGGAACATTATTGTAAAAATGTAAAGGAGGGTCTGTTAGTCTATACTAGAGTTCCCAAAATGTGAGGACAAATGGTCAGGATGGTCTAGAAAATGAGTAATTTATATCCACGAATAATAAAACCAGTGATTCTTGACTATGGATATAAGTGGAAATCATTGTGGAGCTTTAAAAGCCATTCTGTTTGTAAGGGTTTTCTAGTATCTGAGGTGACACAGGCATCATAAGGTGATCATTACACCTTCAGGAGATAAGACATGTCCACATATGTAGTTAACCAGAAACACTATTTAATAACTGGTTCTATGTATGGTACATTCATGTATGAATACACTATAAACCAAACCATTATTTTGTAAAATGGATATATACTAGTAAGAAAGAAGAATTTTTTTGTTCAAATCTAATAATATCATACATAATCATATAAAAAAAGATCATCATTGACCTTACATGATATTACCATTTATACTTAGATATGGACTAATTGCTCTATACTTCAGGACCGTACAATTCACACATGACTTCAGATAGATCACTGAATAGAGAAAGCTTTAATTAGAGATGAATATACATTTTTTAAGAATAAATGAAGCCCCAGTTTATGAAAATGCCTAAAATAAAAACTTTCCAAAAGAGAATATTTTCTGCCTCACCTGTGTTTCTTCACAAGGTTCTACAGAGAAGTTCTGCAAGATTTTGACAACAGCAAGCTTCATGGTAATGAGAGCAAACCTCATGGCAATGCAGTTTCTAGGACCATTCCCAAAAGGCATATATACATAAGGATTGATTGCATCTTTGTTTTTCTTGGAGAACCTGGTGGCACAATTTTACAGGAAAACACAAAATAATGAAACATCACACCAAGTCCTCAAGAAGTAAAATGTTTGTAGTTTTAATGTACAACCCAAAGTCAGGATATGCAGGACACTGCAGTGTATTGACTGCTCCAAATATGTTGTAGTTATTTTATTTCATTCATCATGAGATTTTTTTCATTTCTTGGGTTTTTTTGTTGTTGTTGTTTGTTTTTTGAGACAGGGTTTCTCTGTAGCTTTGGAGCCTGTCCTGAACTAGCTCTTTCTTTTCAGAGTGAAGTTGGATGTTTATTTAGTTGGATATGGAGGAGAAAGGAAAGAAGAGGAGGCTTAAAATTTTTGCCTCCACAGAAAAATAATAGTGAAAAGTTCTATTGTGTTGGTCTGGACAATGATTATGTTTTAGGATATAGAAACCTGCACCACGCAAAACACAGAAACCAAAATCAAAATATGTAAGATTGTATCAGAGTTAAGGAGAAAGAGAGAGAGAGTGAGAGAGAGAGAGAGAGAGAGAGAGAGAGAGAGAGAGAGAGAAAGACTGTCCAAAATAAAGATAATGAGTCACACAGAGAATTAACTCCTACATTGGGAAGGAAAAAACAAATGGCCAACCATAAAACTGAGAAGGGGCTGGTGTCAAAAATATGTCAGGAATTCAAATATCTCAATGAAACAGAAATTTAAACAGCCCCAAAAATGAAACATAAACACTATTTTTAAATGGGAGAAGGATATAAGCAGACACAGAAATGGCCAACAGCTACCTTAAATGGTGTTTCATATTACCATTGACCACACAGGACAGGTGATGCTTTATGGTGACAGAGCACTAGCCTAGTATTTACAATATTCTGAGTGTGATCTCCTGAGCCAATAAATAAATAACTAAAAATTAAAACTACAAAGAGACAAACAATGAAATCTATGAGAATGGCTTTTACCAAAAAGATGTAGCTGTTGGCATAATTTGAATGCAAATCCTATAAGCTATGGGTGAGAATAATAATTAGTATAATCATTATGCAAAATAGTATGAAGGTTGCTCATAAAAGTCACAAATAATTATAGAATTTGCTAGACCATTTCTGGGCATATGTCCCCAAAAAATGAAATTAGTAAGTCAAAAGAAATGTCTAATATTTATGTTATATTTTATACTATTTTAGAAGTCATTTTATTTAAGAAACTTTGCAACTATTTCCAGACAAATTCTGTATCATATATTTTTAGATTTATTAAATAGGGAAAGATTTTAATAATTACTTGTGATTATTTATTTATTTTTATTTTTCTATTCAAAATTTTCCACTTCTGTCCGGGCGGTGGTGGCGCACGCCTTTAATCCCAGCACTTGGGAGGCAGAGGCAGGAGGATCTCAGTGAGTTCGACACCAGTGTGGTCTACAAGAGCTAGTTCCAGGACAGGCTCCAAAAAACCACAGAGAAACCCTGTCCCGAAAAACCAAAAAAAAAAAAAATTCCACTTCTCCCTTTCCTCCCATTCTTGACCCGTTCCCCACTAATGCTCTTCCCTCCCCCTCCAGCCTTAAGAGAGGGCAGGGTACCCTGCCTGTGGGAAGTCCAAGGCCCTCCCCGCTACATCCAGGCCTAGGAAGCTGTGCATCTTAATAGAATAGGGTCCCAAAAAGCCAGTACATGCAGACTCACCCAGGAGGAGTAGAAGATAGGAAATAAATTGAGAGCTGAAATCACAATAGAAACACAGAAAACAAGCCAAAGAATCAAGTATGCAAAGAGCTGGTTCTTTTTGCAATAGCAATAAGACTACATGAGGAGATGAAGGGGATTCAATTTGGAAAGGAAGAAGTCAAACTTTTGTTATTTGCAGATGATATGATAGTGTACATCAGTGACCCCAAAAACTCTACCAAAGAACTCCTACAGCTGGTAGATACCTTCAATGATGTGGCAGGATACAAGATCAACTCAAAAAAATCAGTAGCCCTTATAAACACAAAGAATAAAGAAGCAGAGAGGGAAATCAGAGAAACTTCACATTTCATGATAGCCACAAATAGCATAAAGTATCTTGGGGTAACACTAACCAGGGAAGTGAAAGATCTATTCGACAAGAACTTTAAGTCTTTGAAGAAAGAAATTGAAGAAGACGACAGAAAATGGAAAGATCTCCCATGCTCTTGGATTGGGAGGATCAACATAGTAAAAATGGCAATTCTACCAAAGGCAATCTATAAATTCAATACAATCCCCATCAAAATCTCAACAACATTCTTCACAGACCTTGAGAGAACAATAATCAACTTTATATAAAAAAAACAGAATAGCCAAAATAATTCTATATAATAAAGGAACTTCTAGAGGCATTACTATCCCTGACTTCAAACTCTATTACAGAGCTACAGTATTGAAAACAGCTTGGTATTGGCATAAAAACAGAGACGTCGACCAATGGAATCAAATAGAAAACCCACAAACCTATGAACACCTGATTTTTGACAAAGGAGCTAAAAGTATACAATGGAAGAAAAAAATCATCTTCAACAAATGGTGCTGGCATAACTGGATGTCGATCTGTAGAAGAATGAAAATAGATCCATATCTATCACCATTCACAAAACTCAAGTCCAAATGGATTAAAGACCTCAAAATGAATCCAGCCAAACTAAACCTGATATAAGAAAAAATGGGAAGTAGACTGCAACACATGGTCACAGGAGACCCCTTCCTACATATAACCCCAGTAGCACAGACAATGAGAGAAACAATGAACAAATGGGACTTCCTGAAACTGAGAAGCTTCTGTAAAGCAAAGGACATGGTCATTAAGACAAAAAGGCAACCTACTGGATGGGAGAAGATCGTCAACAACTCCACACCAGACAAAGGTCTGATCTCCAAAATATATAAAGAACTCAAGAAACTAGACATTAAAAATCTAAATAACCCAATTAAAAAATGGGGTACTGAACTGAAAAGAGAATTCTCAACAGAAGGAGTTCAAATGGCCATTGTTTTTTTACTCAGTGGTAAAAAACAATGACATTGAATTTGAATGCAAATAGATGGAAATGGAAAACTCTATCCTAAATGAGATAACCCAGACCCAAAAAGATGAATATGGTATATACTCACCCATTAGTGGACTCTAGCCATAAATAAAGGACATTGAGCCTATAGTTCACAAGCCTAGAGAAGCCAAATAACAAGGTAACCCCCCCCCCCAATATATAAATCCTCCTGGAAATTGGAAGAAGACAATAATGCCAGAGAAAAGTTGGGAGCATGTGTAGCGAGCTGTGTGGTGTCACACCTGATGGAGATGTATAATCAACTCCTGAGATGGCTAAGGCCTGACATATGCTATGATCATGCAATGATTATCAGCTGCCTGCATATGCGTGAACCTATGGGCAGTGCCCACCTGGCAGTTCGGGGTTGGCAGCCCATGCCTACATAAGGGCTGAGAGAGGTTTGCCCGGAGAGAGAGGGTAAAGAGAGGGAAAGAGAGAAGGAGAAGGAGGAGAAAGATTATAGTGCATAAAGTCCTGAAAACTGCTGCAAGAAGAGCTCCAGGTGTTGCGTTTTTTCCTTGTGGGAGGAGGGTGAACGCGACAATTGGTGGCCTTGTACGGGGAACCTCCAAATCTCTCTCCGTGGAGCCCAGAACTTGCTGCAGTCAGGAGGTGCACCAAATAATCCTCAAGGTAAAGATTGGGGATCCGCGACAAAAAGCGGGTTTTCCGCTCTCGCCGGTAGAAGAAGGGAGAGTGGGGGTAATAGGGCCATGATCAAAGTGGATGGTTTAAAGTAAAATTAAAAGAATGGGCACTTCAACATCACACCTGATTTTTCTAGCTATTAACGAGCTGTTACGGAGTGCATTGGAGAGGTTTTCCGCTAAATGTGACACAATTGCACTTTGGTTTGCCATCTCTGGCAATCTTAATGTGTCATCCTGGGATAAGCCTGGTAGAGATCTGGATTTTGCCACTGAACAAGGTATGCTAAGGAAGGGAGTTATATTCATGTGGTTTGAGTTACTGAGACCTCCGGAGTTTGCAGTGGAGTGTGAGCAGCTGCGGCTCCAAGACCAAGGAGCTCCAAGCGGCTCCAGGCAGCGAGCTCTGAGGGTCTGGATGCCTGCAGACCCAGGAACCTGCCTCAAGGACCAACAAAGCAAGAACGCTAGGCCACTCCCAGCGTGGGCCTCAGGGTGTAGAAACGCAGCACTATCGCAGCGCAGTAAGATCTGTTGGCCTGAACCTCTGTCCCAGCCCCAGCCCGGGGCAACCAGCCGGGACCAGGGTCGGGCTGGCCGCTTAACCACCAAGCCTCCACCTTACAGTTCACGGGGAGGAAGTCTCTGCCTCTCCCCTGACACTGCTGCTACCCGAGTCCGAGCGTGGCTGGAAAATGGCAGTAGATTGTAGTAAATACCTTTAAGAATGCAACGTCCCCGCTAAGCAGGAAGTAGCCAGATGGATTGACAATGCCCAAATTCCCTAAAACTTGGTTTAAGCGGGCCCTTTCAGAGCAGAAGTAGGATCAGCTGGGTTGCTAGGGAAGCTGAAGAGGTGCAAGAGGGAGATGCCTTCCATGACTCAGCTGATAGGAATAAATGAGCCACGAGGGTATGGCAGCTGGGGTATGTTATTTAGGGGACTGCTGAAGGAGCAATGGTTTCTGATGGCTTCTGGGGTCATGGCAAAGCCACTCCTAATGACAGGAGCAGGCAGAGGAAAGCCAGGGAGGGGAAGCAAGATTGCCTCCCCTTCCTCTCCTCTGTGCTGGCCCCTCTGCTACCAGTTCTGACTGCTTCCACAAGCACAGCCGCAGCTCTGGCAATTGGCTCAGCTTGGCTGTGAATGGAAGTATCTGGGGCTGTGTGTGTGACCAGCATTCAATATGACTCATGCAACTAATTTGTTTAAAGAACTGTCTAGCTATCTTTTAGGTAATTGGTCTGGTGAATTCGAACAACTGGAAAAGCTGTGAGTGACGATTGTGACTGCAG